CATACACTACACCTTTCCCTTGCAATGCTCACTTAGGCCACAGGGTACAGTGGCTAAAAGAGCCTAATGCATCACAACTTACAAAAAGACACACAAATAGATAAAACAAAAGTGAATAAAGAAATGCATCTCATTTTAATTATCCATATACAGCATTACAAAACACGCTGCAAGTACAGAACTGCTCCAAGGCAAAGGCAAGACAATAGAGGTTTCCAGGGGACACAAAAAAACTGTTGAATGCATTGACCTCTTGTAAATAATGATTGAAGCTCACAATGTTTAGTTTCTGATAGTGTATTACTGGACATATACACCAGGCATTAGTTACTAGTTTCTAGGTTTTAGCATCCAACAGAAACCTCTACTGTGTTTTACCTTTGTTCAAATATTACTTGCGACTTGCACCTTTTCTTTTCATGAGCAGGCTTTTGCTTTATGAACAGCATGTTTCTTTATGTATGTGTTTAAACAGGTTAAGGTGTTTCTTAATTCATCTGTGATCACCTATTTGCATGTGTTTATTAGGTTGCAGTGCACTGACCCATTTCACCGTAACAGTGGCTGCTATAAAGGGCTGGGTATCTCTTAAAAAGTTACAATAGAGTGTGCCAGGGCTGACGTAAAAAACCCGGAAGTTTAGCATCGCGCTGGTTCCTGGAAGAGAAAGTGAATGTCATTTTTGCATTGCGCTTTGGATTATGTCAGAAAATAAGCTCTGTGGCTAACACAAGTTTATAATACTTACAGGTTTTGTTCAGCGAGATAATTTTCAGATATGAACACCTTTCATACCACATTTGAAGCTTAAATGCGATCGCCAGAAGTAAAAAGCTACACGGACGCTTAACGGACTACATGACTACTCCACGGTTGCATGACTCTTGACGTCACCGCCACTAAGCTTTCAACTGATTTCAGCCGCTTTATTTTAAAAACATTGTATAATGGGGAAATCGGACTGTTTAAGCTAAATAAGAAGCTGTAATGGCAGACTGCCAGCACTCTCGCCTGATCGGGGGTGATGACGTTTAATGTCCCCGACAGGGTTTGTAGTCGTATTGAGCAACTTGTTAGCAACCGCCTTTTTTACGACACGTAAAAGCTTCAAAATTCACAAGCAGGGTATTTACTGACGTGTTTTATGTCGTAGAACAAAACCTGAAATTTGCTTAAGCTTTTGATAACCACAGACCTTATTTGAGGCATTTTACCAAAATCCCATTCAAAAAACGTATTGACTTTTAGACGAGAGAACCGGAAGTGCTAAAAGCGCTAACGGAGTTCCGGGTTTACTGGCACACTCTTTACCAGTACCAATACGAGTGCTCTGAAAGTGATAAAGATATGAACAGAGAACTTTATTTGATACTTCTTTCTGATACCTATCACGTGAATGGACGCATTCAGTTGTGTAAAATGCCACCAGACGCCACAGGCATGTAGTATAGCCATACTTTCCAATGCTTTGGTGGCATTTCAGCAGTCTGAACTGCCAACTCAAATACAGCACTCTTGATTTCACCACAACAGACTGTATGGGTTGTAGTTGCTGCAGTAGTGGCCAATCACACACTGCAGCCTGTGGGAAAAACCACACAAATAGTCTTCTTTTCTTGATCTGGGATCCAAAAGAAGCAGGTATTGTCTGACTTGAGAAGTTGGTACAACTTGGTACTGGATTATTTTGGTTAATACCTTAGAATTATTGAGTATGGAGTACGGATAACCAGCCTTAATGCTGCACAACAAAAGTTATAATCATAATTTTAATAAATCATTTCAGCGCTGCTTTTGCACTGTGGTTAAAATAATTATCAGCACTGGGGTTTGTCTTTTCTCAGTTTTCTCTTGATGAAATTTGAATTTCTTTTTTGCCTATTTCGCAATGTTGGTTATCACTGCTAATGCCAACTTTTGTTCCCTTTTCAATTTCTTCCAAACAAAAATAGAATATTAAAAATCACTTTCTGAGTGGAGGACCTCAGAGAGCCTGAGGACTTCTCTAAGGAATAGGACATGTGCTTCATAAACTGGCTAAATCACCACTGAGTCAACTGCAACAACATGTAAAAACATGTGTATTACATACATGACAATATACAATGATCTGATAAACAACAGCCTACACTCACACAGTATACACCTACAGAATCCAAAGAAAGGGTCACTAACTCCTCACTATAACCTATAGGCATTCAGTGTTATCTTCAATTTTCTTAAACACGGATCCTCTCATTACAGATATCACATCTAATCTTTAATGTATCGCAACAACCTCATTGATGCTAAGTGACCCAGTGCTCATTGCACTGTCTAGTTCAGCCGTCCTTCCCCATGCAATAAACCATTCTTCATAATTAGCGTGGCCGCTACAGTATGATCTGGGCATTACAAGTCCTCAGCCGCAGCCCCTAAATGGACAGATTTCAACAGACGCCTGCTGGTGTGATCGGCATCATTATATTTTAATTAATCCATTCTTCTCACAGCAACACAGTAATTACAATCTATTTTATGACACGACATGCTGCGAAAGAGGGGATGGAAGAGAGGAACAGGAAGGCAGTGAGAGGGAGTAATAGCCAGAAAAGGGAAAAGAAGGGGAGAGGAAGGACGGGAAAAGAAACTACAAAGAGAGGTGAGGGCAGTGAGTTAGAGCCAGCGCGAGGAGAGGAAATTCTAAGGTGAGTGAGACAGAGAGCAGAGGAAAAACATCACAAACGCTATGACTGATTACCGATATGTCATCGCCCGGCTGACATTGTAAAAGCATTGTAAAAGCGTTTATACGATGTCTGGAGGAGCATGGGGCTCACTCTCTCTCTCCCTCCCAGATTCATGCTTCATACAGTCAGCGGGAGAAGCTCCATTTCCTCCAGCCTCTGTCTATATAAATCAGAGCAGGTACGGACACTCAGACACGCCGTGGGTGTGATAATAACATTAGAGGATTACAATGACACTCCTCCCTGGACAAGATCACCTGTCTCAACTGTCATAAAACAGCTGCTTTTTGTGGTTGAAGCGCTTTATATGAGGAGAGCGTGTAGGTGTGTGTGCACATTAAAGTGGTGTGTGTGCATGTGTCAAATACAGCAGTGAACAAGTGGAAGCGGACATTGCGTGATCCATCGTGGACCATTTACGAGAGTACACTTGTAATAAGTAACACCTGAGTTTAATACATAAATCTATGACTTGCAGCTAAACCTGACTTTAAATTAAATATATTATCTTAAACAAGCAGTTCTGTGTCACAGAGGCTCAAAAAGAAACCTTCAGGCCACTTACTATGGTTTATGCAGGAATAAATGAATTTTACGCCATTTAATTTACCTGAAATTATCACAGTTAGAGACCATATAGGGATAATTACTGTAATCATACATTTCATAACCACAACCATACACAGTTTATTTAACTATATAATCATACATCTGCCCATATGTGGAAATATCTTTAGGGGATCTTTGACATATTACACAGACGTGGAAATATGTTCACACTCACAGCCATGTCATGCACCATACAACACTGGTACAGCTTTCTGTATCATTCTTAGTATCACCTACTAGATAGTATCACCTTTTTTAGAGGTTGTTGATCTGATACTTGGTTTGAAAGAACAATAGTTAAGAGTCACCATAAATCAGTTAGTGTGATCCAGTAACTTGTTAATGACAAGAGTTACAGATAAGAAGGTTGCTTAGCTTAGCAAAAAGACTGGAACAAGGAGGGTGCAGCTAGCCTGGCATACTATGGCTTTACAGGGGGTTATGTGCCAGACTATTTCTTGGCAGGGAGCAGTAACTTCCTGAAGTCTTCACTGGTTGCCTGGCAACCTGACTGTGGTCAGGAAGTTACTGCTCCTGGCCAAGAAAATAATCTGGCACATAAACAACCGTAAAACCACAACTTGTCATTTTTACACTTTGGTTTTTATATGGATTAAACATATAATATATAACAATTATTAGAGGTGCTGGCAGGTTGATTTTGTCACTTTTGGACAGAGCCAGTCCAGCTGTTTCACCTGTTTGCCAGTCCTTATGCTAAGCTAGGCTAAGCTAAGCTAAGCAGCTGCTGTAGCTTTATATTTACTGTAAAGACTGATACCAATATTCTTATCTAAAGTAACTCTTGGCAAAAAAAGCAAATAAGCATCCTCGCCAAAATGTTAGAACTACTGCTTTAAAGAGACACAACCAAACCTGATTGGCACATGTTGCTAGACAGCCATAGCAACAAGTAATCAAGGGTTTCAGCCAAGCATGGTAGTTCACTTTTTATAAAGAACAAAGCTACTGATATGTAAATTAAATGATTATTGCATCCATTTACAAAGAAGCCTCATTTAAAAAGTGGGCAGAATGACCCCCTTTACACCTTGCATTAAAATGAGTCTTGCATGCAAATTGTATCTAGATATGATTTAACCTGATTATATGTACATGTGTTATAAATGTGTCCCAGTGTCCACTTTGAGATCCCATTGAGATCAATGATCTGTCTAGTTCAAACAACCAAACACAGTCTAACCGGTACCGCTAATGCAGTGGCATTTACACCCAAGTTCAATATGGCCACAATGCATCCCTGACCACCTGCAGGAGGTGTTTGGATGATCTGATCACAATCCTTCCTCAACGTATTTGGGTGTATTTGCACCTGTATTTTCATGTGGTCAAGCACTATCTGAGTGCAATCTGATCACCTGCAACACATTTTAATGCAAGGTGTAAAGGGGTTTGATTTTTTGGATAGGACAGATCAAGTGTGAAAGGGGGAGAAAGATAGGATAATATGCAGCATAGGGCCATGGGCTGGAAGCAAACCTGCAGCCGCTGCGGCGAGGGTTAGTGCCTTTGTACATGGGGCATCTGCTCTACCCCAGGGGAGTCAGTGCTGGTAGTATGCTAGACTTAAATGTAACCCTGATGGCAATAACACATTTGTGTTCAAAACCATTAAATGTTTGCATTGATGAGTCACAATACCTATGGTGAACGTGATATCCTGCTCCGTTGATGCTCCACCCAGGCTCTTTGGGGTCGGGGATCTTTGCTGTCTTAGCGATCAGATGCTGAACATCCCTCCATGTCAGCTCGGGACTGGGGCAAGAGACATGAAACAGAATATCATCAAATACACCCTTCCTTCGGCCCGTGTTCTACACCGACTGATACCACAGAGGAAACACTTCAACTCTGCTTGATACTCTGAAAAGAAACCTGCAGGGAGCTCAACATGGGCTCCAGTCTTGTGTTGAAAGAGGCTGGAGGACTGTTTTATGGAGCTTACAGCACATTCTATCAGGCACCAATGTAATGCTCATACTGTATTAATGCGTAGGTTTATTGATACATAAACTGCTGCAGTGAGACACTGCCATACCTTTTACAGCAGGTCCTCTAGACATAAAAGCACCTGTTTAAGTCAAGCTTACGGTTTTAATAATGGTGTCACTAAAAAACTGTGAATCCAACAAAGAATATTTGAGACTTTAACAAAAGAGCCTAGAGAGTCGAATGCAGAAAAAGTCTTCTTTTTAATCCCAGGCAGGGGAATTCTAATAGAGCGGACTCAAGTGTCATGTCAAGCAATATACTAATGGAATCCAATTAAGACCTTTAAACTGCGCCGAGAGCTGGAGGATATTAGCTCAGTTTTCTATAACAAAAGACCAAAGGGCCGTCAACGAGGGCTTTTTCAGGATATAAAAAGCATAAAGGAAATTGGGTTTTTCTGCTTTATCCACTCATTATTGTTCCCTAAGAAAATGAGTTGAATGGAGTATAAGAAAAACCGCTTGGCCACCCATTCTGAATAGCCTTTTCTCTTTCTGAGAAGAAGTTCCTCCACTGTTTGTGTAACATCCGTACATAGACAGTGGTGTCTCCAGTACAGAAGAACAGAACGAAGGTAATTAAAGGTGTGCCACATAATTAGACCTAATTTTTCCCATCATTAATGACATAACTGCAATAAATCACGCATGTCTTCTCAGCCAGGTTAAGGTATATCTTTGTAGTTTTACCCTATGTCTACACAAAGATGTGAAGAAAAGGCCTTGGAAACAACTAAATCACAAGTAGCCGCTTCATTGTTGTGCTGTTGAGTGTTAGACATCTCAGGAAATATCAGGCACAGATATAAACAGATGTATTCCATTCACGTATTGGAAAAAACGAAGCAGAACAAAAGCGAGGAGAGAAGCTTTCATTAGCAGCATAAAACAAAACCCCGGCAAGCAGCAAGAGCAGGCAGCTAAAACAACATGATAGGAATAATACCAGTAACACTAATAATAGACGGATAGAATGAAACAAAACACAACGCACAAACAATTATTTTAAGCTTTGATTTCAAAGGGATTGGAGTATATGTGAGTCTGTGTGTGTGTGTAGGGGGGGAATAGGCTTTGTACTTTTGAACTGTTGCTGCTCGCTGCATGCGTCTGTGTGTATGAGTGTGCGTTCTGTATTATATATTAGCGGCAGCAGCGTGATTCTGTTATGAGCACTCCCCCACCTCCATCATCAGCACCACCACCACCATCACCCCTCTGGTGGAATCAGAGAAACCCCCGCGGCCCCGGCTGGTTTGCATAAAGCAAACAAAATTAAATTTGCTTTGCTAAATCAAAGCATGTATGGTATTCCAAGCCGCTCTCTCTGGGACAAATTACTTCAAACGGCCTCCTTTGTATCATAACAGAATAAAAAAAAAGAATCAGCCCAATCAGCGGCTCTCCAAAACCCTCGACTCGGGAATTAATTATTGAACCGAGGGCTTTTCTCTCTCCTAGCAGTCCGCGACACAGATCTATTTATTTTGGAAAAGTCGTTTTGCTCTTAAAAACACACTGCTGGCTGAGAACCCAGTTTACTGCTATCTCTCTCTCTCTCCCTCAATGTTTTCACTCCTCTTTGCTGCACAGCCCCTGAAGGGACATGTGAATAGGTTTAGGCCACGAAATTAATCTGAAAACCCCACGACCAGCATCCACCATAGTGCTGGTTAGACAGAAGTATTGCTTATGCTGTAATGGACTTAAGATGAACTGAGCTGTTAACTTGCGAGGTTTCTTTCACAGAGAGGTGGCACTTTTTTCTTTGCACTACCTCTTTGTATGAATGCTAGACCATGTGTTCTCTCCTCCTGTTGGTTTTGGTTTGGCTGCAAGAAAGCAAAAATCACCATTTATGAAATCTGATATGCAGCTCAAGTGGAAGAATAAGGACTAAAGCAAGGGATCATTGAAGATGATTTTCAGGGTTAGTTGATGTTAGGGTTGCAGAAAAATGTCTGCAAAAAATTTAACGTAAGTTAAGTTAAATACAAGTACAATTTCAACAAAGAAACATTTTATAATGTACTTATTATGGGAGAAGATGCATATAAAAATGGGTTAATTGAACTACTACATGGACTGCATTTAGCCACACACTCTTTAATCACATGTACAGATAATTTGCCAGCATCCCATTAACCAGGAATTCAATAAAATTACAACCTTCTGCGTGCACAGTGCATCACATGTGCAGCCCACACTACTGCCAACATGACTGCACCATCTGAGCCAAATGACTACATGCTTTCATGTAAGTTTTATATTTAGCACTGGAGTGAACATATTTGATATTTTTTATGATAATTCAGTTAACCAGCAGACAGTAGCGTAAAAAGTACAAAGTTTATAACTTGTTCTTCCAGAGGTTTGAATAATCTCTTTCTATTTATTCTTTATTGTAAAAAAAATCTTTTTATACAGTAGTTGTTAGCTTTAAAACCCAAGTTTGCCTGGACCCCACACTGTTGACAGATTATGTCTTCTTATGCTGTAATAAAAGGTTTGTTTCTATCTGGATATGACATGATAAATACAGCCTGAGCAAATAGCCGTTATATTTCCATCTTACTCACATTATTTCTGGCTGAGTTTTGCAACCCTAGTTGTTGTTTCTATTTAGAAACCCCCCTAATTATTTATGACACATTACATGTGATTATATTTAACATCAACCTTTTTCTTTATTTTTAAAATACAAATTCTAGGGTACCAAAGCTGTAATTGGTGAACAGCTGTACTGTGGCTGGCGAGCTAACGTGCTAGCTAGCCAGGAACATGCTACTGTGAGCCAGCTACAATAGTTTTCCAAACTCCAAGCTTGTGATCTTGGTGGCTGAACAGGCAATACAGTAAGTTAACAGACTTTATTCAAGATAACTCAAACCATGGCTCTTTTGTGGAGCAGGTACTCCAGCAGTGGAGGGTTATATAAAAGTGGATGGTGCAAATGATAGCTTTTCCATTTTTGGACTCTTCAGTTTTCAATGGGCCTTTTAAATGGGAGACATTTTGGCTTGTCACAGTAGGAGAAGCATGTGTGCTTAATTCCATTTAGCAGTTTCAGGGTCCTGGTATTTTGCATTCTGCCTCACTGTCACACTGTCATGGCTTACTGGAACACTTTAACAAAACACAGCCATCGTTAATGGTATTAGTAACACCTGTGCGAAGTTCAGCGATGTGAAGATGGTCTGCTACGGTGAATCACAAGTCAAAGTTTACCTGAGGTGAAGTCAATGTGAAAGAGTTGTGCAGACTTAAAATGAATCGATTTCCCAATTGGGCTGTTTTAAATGCTGGTCAGGTCAAACATAAAACACACCTTAAGAAACACTGGACTGATTTCTTCCTGGGGCTGTTAGGTTACTTATAAACAAAACCTAAAGTAACTGAAAACTGACATATGACAAACATTCAAGTCATGCATGCAAGAAACACTACACACTACAACTTAACTTTAAACCTCCAAAGAATAGACAGCAACAGAAGAAATAGAACTGACATCACAGACAATCAAACGACAGCATGCTGTCCAGCACACCCATGATCACGACTGAGCTGCAGCTCACAGGGCTGGGGCAAAGCACAACGATATATGAGCCTCCTCCAGACCCTTACAGCCTTCTTCCCCTCGCCAAGGCTCACAAAGCAGCACAGCAGCCGTCACAGTGAGCACACAACTGTTTACAAATCCCCAGTTAATAGGATCAGGCCTCATTGACTGGGCTGCTCCGATGTGTCTGATGTAATCTATTAGCTGTATGATAGTCAGTGTCTCAGTCCAATCGATAACCCTGGGCCTCCATATTGCTCCACTGTGGACTGTTACTCCTCTTTAGTGCTGCTTAGAATGCAGACTTAGTGACTATAAAGTGTGCGTGTATGTGTGCGCGCGCGTGTGTGTATGCAGAGGTTTGTGTCTATCTACTCCTCCCTGTGTGTCAGATCATGCACTTCGGTGAATTTCTAATTTTTAATGTTGGAGTGTGTGTGTGTTTGTGTGTGTACAAAAGCTGTGAAAGGGAAATGTGTATGCAACTGTATTATGGAGTGTAGTTTATATATGTGCAATGTAAAATCATGAAACATACATACTGTAGCTGGTATTAAGGCAGATGTTAATGCTGTATCACTTCACGTTGCATGGATGCATGTGGGAATTACGTGTGTCTGTGTGTATGTTGTATAATTATGTTGACATTTGTAATATCCTCGCACCTATACACGGGTGTATTACTGTACAATGGTGCATATGTGTGTGTATTAATGCAGCTTTACAGTAGATGGCATGTCTGAAAGTGCACGTTTGTGCACATTTGTGTGTGTGCGCACTGTGTTTGTGTGTGTCGGAGTGTGTCTGTAGCTGGTGTAACTGGGTTTCCAATTAAGTTGAACCACAGGCCGGATCAATGCTAGTCCTCTGTGTGCAGGAATGAGCAGCCCTGGGCCCTCAGAGCATGCCCACGAATAATTTATCACTCACACGAGGCCCAGGCAGAGAGGAGGAGGAGGACGAGGAGAAGGAGGAGGAGACGGGGAGCGCAAGGACAAAGTGTCCAGCCCAGGGGAGAGAACGCAAAAGATGGGCAATCGAGGGGACAGAAAGATGGAGGGGTGAAGAAAGAGAGAGAGAGATCAGGACTCAGAGGAAAACACTGTCAGCTCCTGATCATTTAGAAGCATAACACTCAACGTTTTTTGTCTGGTAAACAACCACTGAAAAAGAAATTCTGCAGGGAGCACAAGCCACATAATTCC